GACATAACATGCATGGGACAGACTTATACTGAAACTGTCCAGTGCTCACGTGAAATTCAAATGTACCTGGGAATTCTGTATCTTTACCTGCTGAAATCATAGCATGGAACTTGGCGCCTGCAACCCTGCTGATGCTTAGTAGATATTATAGAATTAGGGATACATGTTACTCACATAAGAACTGAGTGATAGCTGAACCCGGCGAAATTCAAGCTCAGCTTACCTTCCACGCAAACCGTGACCCAAGACTGGCCTTCTCTCTGCATCTGAGGCATTACTAACTGTGGAATCTCAGAACATCCAGCAACTCGTTCTGAACCATTTGGTTAAATGTGATGTACCGGGATTTTCCCACAAAAACGCTCCAGCCAAGATTAAAAAAAAAAAAAAAGATTTCTTTTCAAAACTGGACTAAGATTTACACACACACACACACAAAAAAAAAAATCTATGTAGAACAGACCCTAAATCTCTGAACAGGCACCCGTTCCGGGCAGTTCCCTGCTGCCAATTTTATGACATCTTTACTTCAACTTCTCCCAGAGGCCCAAGCTGAGGAAGCTGTAAAACCCTGGGCAAACACAGCCATTTGCTAAGAGAAAAGCCAGCGTGGGGCCCATCTGGGCTTTGCTTGTCCTGCGTTTGTGTGTCACCATTTACAGAGTGGCCCGCCTCCCTCGGAGCACCTGGCCACTGGCAGGGGCCTTGGCTGGGTTGTCAATATCTTCCTCACAGACACTTTCTGTCAAGAGTCAGGGGACCTCCTGCAGGGACTGACTGACGCCCTGCCCCAGGCTGGACTCCACATTCTCCCTGAATGGCCGCCATACTGTATTGGACATTAGCTACTAAAGACCCACAGGACAAGCAGCTCTCCAAGGGCGGGCCTGTGGATCGGTGGCTCCTGGAGGCCCAGCGAAAGGCCTTCCACAGAGCAGGCCCCCCGATAAACACTGAGGAAGTAAACCTCTCTGCTGACTGGAACCCTAAAGCCAACGCAGGAGGAGAAACAACCACCACTCTGAAATCACGATCCAGGGCTGGGCCCACTACCCACATTCTTGATCTTATGATAAGTGAGGGAAAATATCGTGACGTGCCTTTGAACCACAAAAGATTTCCATGGAACTCAAGAAGTCCCTTTAGCAGATCCAATTTTAGGCCGAACTCCGGAGAGGGGATACTGGTAGCAAACAGAGGTGGGGGCGGCGGAGGGGGACTGAACAAGGCCCCTATTCTGCCCGGCACAGGTGCTGGTAACAGGACACCCTGTCTAAGCGAGACCTGGGTGGGGAATGCAAGGTGTGGTTGGGTGTTTTTTTCACTCCCAGTCGCATTACATAAGGCCAAACACACTCTCCGACCTGGGACAAAGTTCTCCCTGCATCAGGCCCGATTCAGCTCCTGACACGCTGATTCTTAAGCAACAAGGCGGAGAAAAATATTTGATGTTAGCATCCAACTGTTTTTGAGCTAAGTTAATTATTAAAAGAAGAAAGAGAGCCACAGGGTGAGCTGCCCTCAAGTTTGGCCAGAGTCTCCTGGTCCTACGAGCTCCCCAAACATCACGAATTCTATGCAGGTTCAATTACTTACATTTAAAAAAAAAATAACCCATGAAAAAATACAAATATCAAATCGGTATGGTGCACACCTGAAAGTAATATAGTGTGCTGTGTCAATTATACCTCAATTTAAAAAAAATATGATGTTTGCAACAGTTATCCTTGGATAGAAACTCGGAAAAGATTCCAGGACCTCCTTAATGCAGTCAACATGATCTAACCATCAGAAGCCAGTCAACTGACTTTCCACACACAGTCACTTCCAAGCTGCTGTTCCCCGAGACAAGCAGGCGATGCGCCCGTGCCTCCAGCCACATGAGTCTCTTGCTTCCCCTTTTCCTCTGGGATCAGCTCACAGCAGACGACTTGATTTATGTGGATGGGCGGAAAGGCAGCCAGTAAGCGATTTTGCACACCACCATTCATTACTGACCACCACCACAGTAGGGTGGGAGAAAGGGAAAAAACACAAGGTTTCCTCTCGACAAGGAATCAATAAGTTATTTAACAGCTGCATCCCAATGGGAGCCAAGTGAGGGTTTCTTCGGCGCCCCTCCCCCTGAAAAGGATGCCACGCACGCCCTGACAGCCGAGGACTTAACCAGATGAAGGATCATTAGACGGAAGCAAAAAGAAGCCTCCCTAGCTTTTCCATGTCTTGGGCTCTCTGGCTTTGGAAGATAGATGGTGCGAGGCCTTGACATTACTCCATTTGTGTTGTTGTGTTGTTTTTTTCCTCCAAAGAGGAAATCGACTCCCTTCCTGTGCTGCTGTTGTTCATTTTGAAGAATCAAATGCTACTAAAAAAGCCATTTTTCATATCTTTCCTCACCCCCGTCCAACGTCACTTCTTAGAAAATGACCTAAAAATTTTCTCAAGGTGGCATTCCAAACGGGTGTCCAACATTTACACCTGACCTTCAAAGTGCACAGAAAGGGGACGAGAGGCATTAAAACCCATCGTGGGAGTTCAAAGAGGAAAAGAAACAGATAAGCAGGGCATTAGAGAGCCAGCTGATTTCAGCATTAAAAACTGACTTTTACTGCTGGCAGCTGCATGCATATGCATACTCTACACTGCTTAGCCTATCTGCCCAAATTTTAAAAGTCCCTTCTAAAATGTCAGTCAACTAATTCATGAAGAAATCTTTTAAGAAGAAAACCCCATGAAAATATTCAGCAACTATCTTATGAATAAACAAGCTTGGAAATCAGACACCCCCCTCTCTTTTTCCTTCTCTATGCCCCAAAAGTCTGAAATTCTGCAGACCCCAAGGCATGTTGTAGTTGTTGCTTTTAAAATCTGCTTTCAAAACAAAACCAACAGAAACCTTTAAAACAAATACCTTCCCACAGGATGTTGAACAAATGCTACTACATTCCAAGGGAAAGAACTCAGGAACCACAGACTATAGATCCTGCACCCAAGGGGCATTAAACAAGTCTTTATTTTTAACTGGAATCTTGTGGAGGAAAAAACATGCCAACGTAGCACCCACAAACCCCCAGAGCCACAGTGCTGCAGGGCGGCCATGGGGTGGCAGGTGGAAGCAGAAGGGCCCACTCTGTGGAGGGTTACCTACAGAAGGGCTTCGGGCTCAAACCGGTAAATGGGAAGAACCAAGGCTAGATTCTGGATTAAAGAACAAAGAGAGAGGGAACACTAGATGTTTACACTCTGGAACTGCAGTGGGCAGACCTATTAGGTCACTGGGTTCTTGTTACTACTACTGGGTCCTGGAAACATCCTTTTCTCTCCCTAAAAAAAACACAAACAGCTTTACCAACCCATCCCAGATTCTTCCCCTAGTGATCAGAATAGGCGTGTGCCTCAAACCAAATCCTGTTTGATTATAAGGCCTGCACAATTAAGTTAACCAGAAATACTCCAGGAGTCCAAGGCGGCACCAATCTTTGTCTCCAAAGAGCACATCAATGGTGAACTGGGGGCAAAGGAATGCGAGGGGCCGTCTTTGAACAGGGAATAATCTAATTCCAAGTGGCTGGATTAGAGACATTCCCGGGCAAACAGGATACCTTTGAAGATAATGCTGCACGGATGTCAATTTCTGACAAAAGGCACCGGCTCTGTAGAAGGATTTCAAATAGACAAGAGCAGGACAGAGGCACCTTGGAGAAGTTCACCCTGGGCAAGGTGGCAGTTGGTTCTAAAAGGGGGAAGTAGCCCGTGACAGCTGAACATTCCTCCCCAAAGTCCATCTCCAAGGCCAAACCCTGTCCAAACCTTACACTTCATCAGACAAAAGCTCCTCCCCGAGCCCAGGCAGCGGCTGAAGGGGGGCTGTCCACACCCACTCGCTGCACAGCTTCCAAACCTGCCCACTCCTTTTGGAAGCTGAGCTTTTAATTAAACACCACCTCCCCGGATCTGTTGAGGCAAATTGAGGCTGGGCTAGAGCCAAAGAGAAGCTCCCTAAATACACATGGGGAAAAAGATCCCCCCACCGCCCCCAATTCCCACCTCCAGCCAGCTCAAAAGGCTGATTATATTTCCCTTGGATGAGTAACGGAGGGCCCTCTGGTCTATCTCTATGCACAGAAAATCCACGTCCAAGGATCAGGTTATCCCCAGTCCCACCCTTCGCAGGAAAAAGCCAGGGTGTTGTTCTCCACCCCCAACACACGCGTGTGCGCGCGCACGCACACTCACGCGCACACAATTTTCACAATCCTTCCAAGAGAAAACCGGGAGTCTGTGTGTGGTGGGTACGTGTGTGGGGGGAGGGGGGAGCTACAGTTGTTTGTGGGGCCCCAATCTCGCTTTCAGGCTGGGAGCCTCAGCCAGGGCCAGGAGGGGCCCCTGCAAGGCTGCTCTGGGAACTTCTGCTCCGCGCCCCGGGGAGGGCCCGAGGGAAGGCATGCACACCCTCACCAGCTTTGAAACGGCATAATTAATGCCTAATTTGTTCGGAACCCTCCAGGTGGACCTGAAAGCCAAGGAGGGAAAGGGAGTCTTCCTTTCCAGGCTCAGGCCGCGAGCTCCTTTCCAAGGCCAGGCAGAGCCCCCAATACCGCGCCAGGCGCCCCCTCCCCGTACCCGGGGGAATCAGGTGTCCGCCCTGCACCCAGCCTCTGCGGGTCGCAGACACTCCGTCCAAGGACAGACAATGGAAAACTTGGAGCCGGGGCCCTGAGCCCCCCAGGAAAATGAGTTGAGGCCGCCCCCTGGGACAATGAGCAGGGAGAGGGGAGGGAGCATCAAACACCCCCGTGGAAGCCGCCCGACCGGTGACCCAGCAGAGCCCGAAACGGCGCCCGGGTTGAGCAGGTGACACCCGGCCGCAGCGCTCCCGCAGGTGGCTCTCGGCCGCCGCGCAGACCAGGACCGGGCGGCTGGCCCGGGGCGGAGGCGAAGCGCCGCGGCCAGGTCAGCGCGCGGCGGCCAGCGCCGCAGCCGCGCCCCCGGCGACCTACCTTCATGTCGCTGATGATGGTCTGGAAGAGGCCTCCGAGCGCGCTGCATTCCTTCTCAATCACAGCCTCCATTTTCCCGGCGCCGGCGGGGACAGGACGCACACGCTGGGCCGCCTGGACTGTGAGCGGGACCGGGCTGGCTCACCCCGGGAGGAATTTCACACTCGCAGCCTCTCCAGCAAAGAGGACCGAGTGCCCGAGGTCGACTGTTCTCTGCCCAAAATAATAACAATAATTTCAAAAGCCAAACCGCTCCGTAGGGTGATTTGCCTACATGCAGCGCTCGGCTCCTGGCCTTAAAAATGCCCGGAGAAGGCTGACAATCAGACCACCACGGGTGCCCACGACGGAAACGGCAAAACCCATCTTGAGGCAGAGAAAAGCGCCCGCTGACCCAGGGCCAGCGCCATTAAAAAATGCAAGGTTTTCCAAATTAATAGATTTGGGGGAAATTACAAAAACAAAATCGCCCAACAGCAGAGCGGGTGAGCTCGCAGCGCCCGGATCTGTTGCTCGCAGCCGCGGCCGCCGCCTCCTTTTCACTCCTGCGCGCCCGGCCCTGCGCTCGCTCTGGCTCGGCTCCCGCGGACGTTCCGAGAGGCGCACGCGCGCTCGTGGCCGTGCGTCCGCCGCGGGGGTGCGGGAGGGCGCGTGCGCGCGCGCGGGGCTGGGAGCGCGTGCCCGGGAGGCGCGTGGGGCGCGGGCAGCGGAGAGGCGCCGGCAGGCGGTGCAGCGAGGATCCGAGCCCGGCGGGAGCCTCCCCCTCCGAGCACGCACAGGGCACCTTCTGCCCTGGCCGCCGGTCGCAGCGCGGAGAGGGCGTGTCAGCACGAGGCGAGGGGAACGCCCACCCCACAATGGCTGCGAGCGCCCGGAACGGAGGGTGCACCCGCCACTCCCCGGGGACTCACGGTGGCCAGCTTAGCGCAGTGTCCAGCAAATAGTGAGCGCTCAGTAGGGCGAGAAAACTGCTGCTTGCTGCTGCTGCTGCTGCTACTGCTGCTACTGCAGGCTTCTCAGAATAGGCGCGGTCTGTGATATCAGGACTGCAATGCCAAGTCACGACTGCAAACAGCCAAATATGTCATTTAAGGAGAGTTCGGGGCGTGTCCTGCAGCGGGATGCGGAGTTCAATAAAGTTGCAGGAGGCTGGGAACGTGGATTGATTTGCCATTGCTAAATAAGTGGCAGTAGAGCATTATTGCTGACTGCCCGTGGCTTGGACAGTTTTTCAGGCCCACAGAGGTCAATGGTGTTGGTATAACTGCAGAGCGCCCTGTTGGGAAGTTTAACCTGGAAAGAGAGCGCATGTGCCCAAGTTGACGGGGGAGCTGGTGTTTCATTTTCGCAGCTCCACCGCCTAACTGCACAGGTCTCATTTAGATCAGGATCAAATAGACAAAGAGGAGGGGGCCCCGAGGAGCGGCTTTTAAAAGACCTTGAAACAAAAGCACCAAACTCTGGGCTGTTCCCTTGACCCTTGAGCTGACCGTTGGCAGCACTAAACACACAAAAGGAAATGACAAAAGAAACCATATGCAACATGTGATAGACTATTTCAGACTCAGTGATAGGAAGAGTTCTGGCTTTGAAAAGCTGCGTGAATCAAAGAGAAGCACAGATCTGCCGATCACAGCTCAGAAGATCATTTTCCCTGGGGCCACTCTGCCCAACTCTTAACCACAACCCTCTTTGTCCACTTCTCTCCCCAAAATCATAGGAAGGAGTGTCGCTTCTGGAATGAGCTGCTCTCATGTGGATGTATAGATTGGCTGACGCATAGGTTGTTCTTAATCATTATCGTTATGATGACTTTACTACTATAAATATTGTAGTGATCAAGATCATTGATTTACAGCCAGATTGCCTGGGTTCAATCTAACGGGATGGCCTTGGGCCATGCTAATGGTGCCTCAGTTTCCTCATCTGTAAATGGGGATAAAGATAGCATCTACTTCACAGGGCTGTCCTGAGTTTCCCCTAGACCCGTGGTCGGCAAACTGCGGCTCGCGAGCCACATGCGGCTCTTTGGCCCCTTGAGTGTGGCTCTTCCTAAGCCTTAGGAGTACCCTAATTAAGTCAATAACAATGTACCTACCTATATAGTTTAAGTTTAAAAAATTTGGCTCTCAAAAGAAATTTCAATCGTTGTACTGTTGATATTTGGCTCTGTTGACTAATGAGTTTGCCGACCACTGCAGCCTAGACTAATATATGTAAAGCATTTAAAGCAGTTACTGGCACATAGTAAATACACACTCAAAAAATTTTATCAACAGAAAGAGATTCACAATAGTCAAGATGTGGAAACAACCTAAATGTTCATGCCGGATGAATGGATAAAGTGTGGTGTATACATACAATGGGCTATTATTAGCCTTAAAAAGGAAGGAAACCCTGCAGTATGCAACAGCATGGATGAACCGCGGGGACATTATGCTAAGCGAAATAAGCCAGTCACAGGACAAGTACTGCATGATTCCACTTATATGAAGTATATAATAAAATAGTCAAACTCAGAGAATGAGAGTGAAGAGTGGTGGTTGCCAGGGGGTGGGGGTGGGTGCTAATCCATGGGCATGAAGTCTCAATTATGAAAGACAAGTTTGAGAGGTCTACTGTACAACACATACTTACACTTAACCATCCTGTATTATATACTCTGAAATGCGTTAAGAGGGTAGGTCTCATGTTGTGTTCTTACCACAATCAAATACATTTTTAAACAGAAGAAGGAAGGGAGGAGGGACGAAGTCAAGGCTCATTGCAGCCCTGGTCCCAGAGGGCACGTGGCAAGCCTATACTGTTGGCGTGCTGTCCCTCTGACTTTGCCAAGGGCCTACTGTGTACATTGTAGGCGTTTTATGTGCATTCTATCTAATCCTCACCACAACCTTAAGGAGGTGGTCATACTAGCCTTCATTTTACTATTGGAAAGTGGCCGGCAGGACTTCAACCTTGGTTTTCTGACTGCCATGCCGGAAGCCTCGCTTCTACCCAGCCTCCAGCCCTCCTGGCATATGGGGCCCTGAGGACACTGTGTTCGGCTTTCCTGCCGCACACCTGAATTCAAATGCCCCGAACACACAACCTTAGCGGTGTTTAAAAAGCACGCCTCTCTCTCTTTTTTTAATCCTCACCAGAGGATATTTTTCCATTGATTTTTTTTATAGTGGAAGAGAGAAGGAAAGACAAAGAGAAATATTGATGTGAGAGAAACACATCGATCGTTGCTTCCTGCACGCGTCCTGACCAGGGCCCGGGCCAGGGAGGAGCCTGCAAATGAGGTGCATGACCAGAATTGAACCCAGGACCCTTCAGTCCACAGGCCGACACTATCCACTGAGCCAAACCGTCTAAGGCAAGCACACCTCTCTTGTCTCCTTTCCCTCAGGTCTCTACTGGCCTCGGGACTGAGAAGCAGGCCCCTGTCTTTCATGAGAAAGTGAAGCAGCCTTGAGGGGAGCCTGAGAAAGATTCACCAGGCAGGAAAGGCTCAGAGATGGGGCAAGACGTGGCATTTTTAATAAGTCTGTGGTCAGGCTGGTGAACAGAGGGATTTTGAGGAAAAAACTGACAAGGTCAGATTCACACGCCTGCTGTTACCTTCTTTCCCCATAGTTGCGCATCCCCCTAACTTTCTCCTTGCTTTGGAACACCCAGCATTCACTGTGCAAACATCAAGACCAATTAATATATAATTCCTCCAAGAAATGTTTGCTTTTTGTTTGTTTTGTTTTTAATAGCTCCTAAAAGGAGGAACCCAAAGGAATGAATCTCTACCAGAATGAATTTCAACCCCAGTGATCCTGGGAAGGAGAGATTGGGAGGCAATGATGCCTTCCCAAAGCAGCCCCCCGCACCCGCCTCTCCCCAGGGAAGATGGTCAGGGTGCCCCCCACCCATCTCCTCGCGCTGTGACCTCCAGCAGGCGGTTTGAGCTCCCAGCTAGCCTCTGTTTCTGCGGGGTTCCCACTGATGGGCTGCTCCCAGGATTGAAATGGATGTCAGATGCAGTCATATAGTAATGCTGTCCTCATGAGTTCCCCTCCTTCCCAGAAGTGATTCTCAACCCAGGCTGAGTGGAGAGCTCTGCCTGGTCCCCAGACTTGGCAGCAATTGGAATCCCCTGTGGGAATTTTAAATCACTCCCACCAGGGCTCCACTCCCAGGGAGACTGATTCAGGTGATCTGACTGTGCCCTGGGCATCGAGACTTTTCAAAGCTTTCCAGATGATTCCACTAGGCAGCAAATTTACAAATCCGACCCATAAACAATTAAAGTGGAATCTCTGGGGACTGGGCACCAGACTTCTTTAATGTATCATATTTTATTCCATCCTCATAGAAGGATATGGAGGGTGTGTGTGTGTGTGTGTGTGTGTGTGTGTGTGTGTGTATTGTCATTATTTGTTTTACAAAAATGGATCACCCACACATACTTTTTTTGGATCTTGCTATTAACACTTCCTGTTAACACTTCTTGCTATCAATGGTTTCTGTAAAAAATCCCTCCAGGTCCATTAATATTATTCTAACACATTCTTTTTCTTCTTTTAATTTTTAAATGTTGATGTAATCATGATGTATAGAAACACTGCAAGAGTAGGGCAGAGGTTTCTCATTCACCCTCCATTAGGTTCCCCAAATGTTAACCCATTATGATATTTGCTTCATGCTCGGGGATGCTTTTAAAACTCCACAGGTGTCTTTAATGTGAGGCCAGGTTGCTATGTGAGGCCCCGGGGTTGCTATGAGACTTCAGATGCTGTTTGTGACTCTCCTGAGCCTAGTGAAAGGCTTTGCATTGGAGGCAGCTGTGTGAGGTGGTTAAGAGGGTAGGTTCTGTCCAGCTGGTGTGGCTCAGTGGTTGAGCCTCAACATATGAACCAGGTGGTTACGGTTCAATTCCCGGTTAAGGCACATGCCCAGGTTGCGGACTCCATCCCCAGTGTGGGGCGTGCAGTGGGCAGCTGATCAATGGTTCTCACTCATCATTGATGTTTCTTTCTATCTCTCCCTCTCCCTTCCTTTCTGAAATCAATAAAAATATATTTTTTAAAAAAGGAGGGTAGGCTTAGGGTCAGGCTACCTTGGTTTGATTTCTGGCTTCTTCACTTTCAAGCCTTCTGTGCCTCAGTTTCTTCATCTGTAAAGTGGCTAATAGAAGTGCTAGCTCCAAAGGCTATGTAAGGTCTGAATGGGATTACTTATGTGAGCACACAGTAGGACTCAATAAAGCGTAGCTATTAATATGCATTGATCATTATCATGGCTCATCTCTGAAAAAAAATTGGTTTAAGCTTGCTCTATAAGTAAAATTCTTTGTGAGCCCAGAGCCACTCCTTCGCTTAGAAAATCTGAGGAGTTGTCAGTATTTAAAGCATCACAAATTGAGAAACAGAATCCCCCTTTGAAAATGAAACTAGCAAGAGTCTAGAAATAACATCTGTCACAGTGACTCACTGTCAGAGGTGTTTGACTTGTGTTTGTGGATGGTGGCCTAGGAAACACCCAGTTGTAGCCTCAGAGTGTGAACGTGTCCTTGGTCAGGAAACGAATGAAAGAAGGTGTTTCCTTATTAACTGGTTGGTAGCGAGGCCAAAGTGATGCTGCAACAGCAGGGTCGCTAGCCTGTGCCTATGGGGGTCGGGCAGCGCACCTGTGTGAGGCAGGCCAGGTGCAAGTTCACAGGAGGTGGGGGAACTGTAGTGACCTGAGAGCAAGTTCTCCAGCTGCTCCCCAGTCCAAGGCCAAGTGGGAATGTTGGCCCTTCATTGCCACAGGTTCCAGTTCTTCCAGAGGGACTGAAACTTTTGAATTGGATGGGAAATTTCCCCCCCAACCACAATATGTTTTAATTTCTAAATTTTTACAAACTCCCCTGCA